AGCCAACTGGAGTCAATACATGGCCCTTGTATAGTCAATACCTTTCCAGCTGCAACCTGTCACTCCTGATTCTTCTTTCTGCTCCAGCCCTCCTTGCTATCTGGAAGAAAGGCTCAGACCTTCTGAGAAGGCAGAGCTGATACTATGTGAGGGGTCAGTAACCCCATCTCTCCTCCAAGCATATATGAGTACCACCTGAGAGATTCGTTTGCTTGGTTTTGAAGGTTGTCTGGTTTTCTAGAGAACCCTTATTATGGTGTGCAAACACCCTTTTAAAGGGTAACTTGTTGGGCTTTTATTAAATATTAACCAAAATCTTCTGGGGGAAAATGACTGCTGTCAAAGGAGTGATGAGAAGTCATCACCCTCACCAAGTGTCCTTATTCTACCATTAAGAATGCACAATCGTATTTGTCTCCAAAATAAAGGAAGAAGGCTGCTCAGGTACTTCTTCCAAAACTCCTAAGATGGGAATGTTGAATCGCATCTCAATTCCTTATCTCCCATGTTCCCCACCTGTGTTGCCCAGACTTGCCTGATAACAAGAATGACCCAGGACACCTGTCAAAATGCAGAGTCCTAGGCCCCCACCAGACTTTCCTACCCACAATTCTAGGCAGGAGCCTGGGGATCTGTATTTTTATAGCATACCAAAGGCCTTGATCACCAGTAAAGTTTGGGACACTGCCATACTCTGAAACCACTAAATTTTTTTTTGTCTCTTTCCACATTAAATCATTTTAATCCTTACTGCTATCAAGGTGTGAAAGCAAACTTGGACACCAATAAGCAGCATGATCTTAACAAGCCAATTCCCTTTCCTGGTCCTTATTCTCATCTGAAAAGTGGGAGTATTTTACTAGATCACTTAATAATGCAGTCTACCATTTGCATTTGCCAGCATGGGCTATGAAAAGTAATGTCACAAATGTTTTCCACAGATTTTCTGAAGACTTTTTACAATCAATCACTTTAAATTTCCAGGGATATCACCAGGACCAGAGAGAACTAAAGGCTCCAAGTCCCTGTGAATGCTGAGATGATGCCTGTGAAAAGGCCTGGCATAGGGCCCAATACTTAGAGCTTCCAGAAAGTGTTAGCCTCCTTCTCCCAACCATGTCATGCCAACGACATTTGCAAATAGTAATCACTACAGGGGCTTCTGCATCAGCCCTCCACATGCAGCTCTCATGCCACCCCCCTGAATTCACCACACACAGGGCCACCAGCAGTGGGCTACCTTTGCACAATATTTTCCAATGGCAAGTGGTCAATTCCAAAGCTCGGACTCTTTCCATCACACCATGGTCCCCTAGATAAGGCCATCACTCAGACTGCCCCAACCCAGATGTGGTCCCTCTGTGGTTTACTTCTGAAGAGACCCTCAGTCTGGGCAGATTTTACCCATGGGATGGAGCCTGAGAGGGAAATAGGGCAATTCTGACAAGATTGCCAAAGATCCACATAACTTTTATGTTTTGGTCTGCTGTGAAGAGAAACCCCTTCTTGCTCTACTAATGGGTGAACTCTGATCTCTAGCTTCTAGAGAGAAACAAAAGCACAGCTTTTTTACTTTTTAAGTGTCTCCATCAGAGTCATGAAATCATCTGTCAAGACTTTTTAACTTCTATGCTTCCGTTCTGATAAGAACCTTTTAAATGAGGACACTGCTGATCGCTACTGATGTTTTTTGAGCAAACACACTCAGGGCTATGGATGAAAGCCAATCCAAGGTAAAAGGACTCATTGGGGGAAGTTAAGTCTCCTCTACTCAGATTTCACTAGAAGCTTCAAAGGCGGAAACAAGTCTAGATTTCAGTCTCAGTTGCTGTCTGTTTCTGCAATGAACAAGAGTTTTTCTCTTAGCCAGTGTATCAGGCAGGGTTCTCCCACAGAAACAGAACCAGTAGGAGACATATACAATATACATCCAGATTTATTTCAAGGAATTGACTTATGTGATTGTTGGGGCTGGCGAGTCCAAAATTCCTAGGGTAGGCCAGCAGACTGGAAATCTTCAGGCAAGAGTGGATGCTGCAGTCTGCAGGTGGAATTTCTTGTTCCTCAGAAAATTCGCAGTTTTGCTCTTAAGGCCTTCAACTGATTAGATCAGGCCCATCTAGATTACTACTGCTAGAATCTCCTTCACTTAAAGTCAACTGATTGGACATGTTAAGCACAACTACAAAATGCCTCCACAGCAACACCCAGATTTGTGTTTGATAGAATAACTGGGTACCATAGCCTAGCCAAGCTGGCACATAAAGTTAACCATCATGGCAACATACCCATTAAATTTTGTTGACTGTTTTACAGGCTGTTAGAGATTGTGGTAGAGAAATGTGATCAGCACTTTCAGTATCACCCTGCACTGATGGTCCCTGTTAAGTGACAATACAGCAGAGCAAAAGCCCCGTCACTAGCACCATACCATGAACATATTGACTGGCTGGCTGGTTCCCTAACGGATAGTGGCTGACAGGAAATGTGAGGATGAGGAAACAGGGCATGTGACAGAGAGGGACAATGAAGGGCCAGAGTTTGGTTTTCCTTTTGCCTTTCATTGGAAGGTGGTTAAGGTAATTCTGTTGCCCAGGTATGCAGAAGGAAGCAATGATTTAGAAACTCCAAAGCAGTAAGTAATCCCCAAAAGTAGTATATTTGATTTTGAAATGAATAATTATTTTATCGGAAACATGTAGTTTCCCAATTCTGTTCACTATTGGCCAATATAATTGTGGACTTGCACTTGGCCAGCACACGCCAAACAGAAGTAGACAAAGCCTGCTTAAAATGACTTCAACGTTCCTCCTCTGTCCTTTCTCAGTAGTGATACTCTAGCTTCAAGGAATCCTAACATACCTGTAGTTTCCAGAATATTCTCTTCCATCTCAAAGGGTTCTGTATATACTCTTCCTTCTGCATAACATACTCTTCCACCCTCTTTATAAGTTCACTCTACCCAGGCTTAAGGCCTCAGCTTAGATCAGGACTTCACAATCCTACTGCCAACAAAGATTTGAAGACTTCACTATCTTTCAAGAAGTCTTTTAGGGTCTCACAAAAATGTTTTGATTTCTTTTAAAATAAGAAGGAAAAAAATGAAACTTTAAGCCCAAGAACATGTCTGACTATATAATATTAACATATGTATCTTTATACCAATGCAGTTGTGAAATATAATTTTTAATATTTTTCATGGAGGAAGGGACCCATGAAGGCAAGGGTACCAAGAGCCCACAGAAGTTATAATGTGGCCCAGCAGGCTCCGATAGCTCACTGCAATAGTTCTTTCTGCATCACATCATAATGGCTGGGCACTTGATGTTCTCTTCCAGCTGACAAGTCGGGGCCTGTTTTGTTCCCCTTCATGTCCACAGATATAGTTTGAATCGAGTCTGGTCCTCAGTAGATGCTCTGCAAACATCGGTGGGTAAATGAATAAATGAATGAATAAATGAGTGTCCTGATGCCAGCTAAGTGCAGGGTTACATGATGTGATCCTCTCATCCCCAATAAAGATACGGGTGCAAGTCCTGCCTGGCTCCATCTACCTTTAACCTGGTGTACTGTCTTGGTTTCCATACCAGGTATATGTGACTTGGTGCAACTCGCTTAATCTCTCTAAATCTCAATATTGCCATCTGTAAAATGGAGCAATAATAAGTTCTTGTGAGGAGTAAATGAATGAACATACTACCTGGGAGGCGCTTAGAAACAGTTTCTGTTGTGTAGTAAGCAGTCGATAATTATTACCTATAATTATTGCTGTTGTTACAGCCAATTAGTATCCTACCTCTCCCAGAGATATTTTCATTTAAGAACTGGCTCTTGGAGAAGAGAAGAAATTACTTATCCCCCACCCTGTCCCCTGCCCCACAACAATCATCTCTAATGGTGGAATTTCGGGGTGTGTAGGATGAGACTAACAGAAGCAAAGAGAACTTCTCTGGGTAGCTTACTGGAATGGGGGCGGGGCAAGACCTATTACAGGGGAAAGTGCACGGTTATTAGAGTGTAACCCACTGAGTTCAAATCCTGAATCCAACCCTTCTAACCATTACCTATGTTCTGCAAACATCCAATTCCTTAGTTGCAAAATGAGTCCTAATGGGATTCATGTCAAAATGGGTCAAAATGGGTCCTAATAGCACCTACCTCCTGGGGTGCCTGAAAGGATAAAAGGAGCTATTGTGTACGAATTGTGAATTCCAATCTATTAACTTACTTGATCCTGATGCCCTTTTAGATGCTATTACCATCCCCCTCACTTTAACTGGAACCGGAGGTACAGAGAGACTAAGTTACTTGTTTGAGGTCACACAGTCAGTGGTAGTTGGCTTAGCTGGGTTGAATACTGGCAGACTGGCCCCAGGGCCCTGTACTTAACTACGTTTCTTTCTATTAGGAGATACGTTGTCTTCTTGGTTCAGCATAAGGAGAAAGGTGTAGGGGAGGGCTGGAAGGCCATGGAAAACAAACCTAGGACTGTCTCTCTGAATTTTATCCCAAGAACAAAGAGGCACAAATAAAGATGCTCACGTGTAGCATCACGGTTATGGCGACTTCGTAGTGAAATGGTGGAAGGAATAGAAAGGGCTGATCGCAGGGGATGAATGCGGCCTGGGATGAGCACTCTTCCCAAGGGCAGGGTGGGATGCGACGGTGGGTGGAGAAGAACCGCCAGCCGGAGGTTGGATGAGGAGGGTCCACCTTCTCTCCCTTCCTCCTCCTCCTGCCACCTGCCCAGTGCCCTCCTGCCCTGCCGCCCCGGAAGGCCCAGTCCCTCCCTAGGCTCTCAGGGCTCCTGTGCCCCTTCCTGCCCCAAGGGTCTCCCCTTCCCAGCCTGGGCAGCGCCACTACCCCAGCCAGCCTCCCACCCCACTTGGGCCCCCAACCCCAAGGTCTCCCCCACCAGCAGGACCTGTCCGCGCCCCCCATTGCCCCCAAGGAGCGCTCAACACCCTTTCTCCTCCTGCCTTTCTCCCACCTGCCCGCAGGGCCTGCCCAGCCCACTCCTGCGCTGCCCGTCACAGCGACTCCTGGATCGCGTGGTCCGGCGCTACGCCGAAGTGGCCGATTCTGGCAGCATCTTCATGGCCCACTTCACCGACCGCGACAAGCTGCGTCTGCTCTACACGCTGGCTGTCAACGCGCACCCCATCCTTCTCCAGGTGTGCGGCTGCGGCAAGCCTACCAGGTTGAGGGGCAATCTCGGACTCCCAGGAGCTGGCTCTGGGTTCATTTCTCTCCTTCTCTTTACTGCACTCCTTGGGGCCACCAGCCCATGGGTAGGACCTTTGTGGCATTCAAAAAATACTTGTTGGTGGTGGCTCATGCTTACAATCCCAGTGTCTCTGGAGGCTGAGGCAGGAGGATCACTTGAGGCCAGGAGTTCGAGACCAGCCTGGGCAATGTATTGAGAAATCCTATCTCTAAAATATTTTTTTAAAAATTAGCAAGCATCTCTAGTCCAAGTGACTTAGAAGGCTGAGGTGGGAAGATCACTTGAGCCCAGGAGTTCAGGCTGCAGTGAGCTATGATCAAGCCACTGCTTGCCAGGCTGGGTGATAGAGCAAGACCCCCTCTCAAAAAGAAAAGAAAGGCTGGGTACGGTGGCTCACACCTGTAATCCTAGCACTCTGGGGGGCCGAGGCAGGCGGATCATTTGAGCTCAGGAGTTCGAGACCAGCCTGAGCAAGAGTGAGACCCCATCTCTACTAAAAAATAGAATTGTGTGACAACTAATATATATATATATATATATATTATATATATATATATTTAGCTTGGCATGGTGACACATGCCTATAGTCCAGCTACTCGGGAGGCTGAGGCAGGAGGATTGCTTGAGCCAGGAGTTTGAGGTTGCTGTGAGCTAGGCTGACGCACGGCACTCTAGCCTGGGCAACAGAGTGAGACTCTGTATCAAAAAAAAAAGAAAAGAAAAAAGAAAAGAAAAGACAGAAAGAGAGAAGGAAGGAAGGAAGGAAGGAAGGAAGGAAGGAAGGAAGGAAGGAAGAAGGAGAGAAGGAAGGAAGAGAGGAAGGAAGGAAGGAGAGAAGGAAGGAAGGCGGAGGAGGGAGGGAGGGAAAGAGAGAAGGAAGGAAGGAAGGAAGGAAGGAAGGAGAAAAATATTTGTTGGTTTCTGCAATGTTGAAGGTGCTGTGGCTGCTATAGAGGAAAGAGGGAGCGCACAGCAGGAGGTGGGTAGTTGGGGACAGTAGCCACCTTCACTGCTTGAGGCAGCCCTGAAGAGCTTCATGAAGTAGGGCAGCTTTGCCCTGTACGTCAAAGATCAGTAAAGTTTGAACAAGCTCAGGAGGTGGGGAAATAGCCAAGAATGATCCACCCAGAGATGTGCCCTGCAGCTATGCTTGGAAAGGAGAAAAAAAAAAAAATAGAAGTAACCTAAGTGTCCAGCAACATGGAATGGGCAAATATCAATAAATGAGGACACATTAGGGTCTGGGTCAACAAGACAGGTATGGTGACCCCTGCTTTCATGCAGTTTCCAGTCCAGTGGGAAACCAACATCCATGGAACAGGTAGAGCCCAATCTCTCCAATTGCCCCCTGACCCTAAGGGTCAGAACACAGAGGTCACCTAATGGATGCAAAAGGAAGTTGAAAGTGAGAGGGAATCGTAGGGAAAGAAAGATGAATAGAGAAAACAGGAGGAAGAAGAGGGAGAAGAGGAGAAGAGAAAAAAGAGGAAGGGAAGAAGGTACACGTGGAAGAGAAAGAAGCCATAGCAAAGACGGTTAATGAATATTGACCAGAGAGATGACGGCTGAATACGTAATAGCAGCTCTCATTTAACTGGCACCTGCCACATACCAGGCATATTGCATTGAGTGTTTGACATCATTACCTCATTTAATATTGACAGAAACCACCTGGAAATATCATTATTGTCCCCCTTTCCAGATGAGGTTAAGTTGTGCTCTGAGAGGTGAAGTGACTTGGCCAAACTCACTTAGCCAGTGTTGGCGATGGAACCCAAACCCAGAGCTATCTGCCTCAGAAGCCGTGCTCTTCCTCCTAACATTGGCATTTGAAATACTAGTGGAGGAAGATGAATTGCTTGTTGTCCTGCACTCTCCGAGCAGACCCTGGCTACTCCGAGGCCTGCCTCCTGAGAGGTGTGGGTTGAAACCATGTGGCTGAGACCCTCCACTCAACCCTGGGCTCATGGCATGGAACCCAGGAATGGCTGCGTGGCCACATAGTGGGCCCGGGACCTCCCTCCACAGCACATGGTGGGAAATGTCCCATCTGGGCAGGGGAAACTCCAAGAGCTAATGGGCATGGGTTCTTCACAGTGTGTGGGGGGGCGGGGGGGATAAAAAGGGCAGAAGACCTCAGAAAACCATCAGAGAGGGAGATAGCTTTGTTCTTTAAAGAAGAAAAACAAGGAATAAAATGCTGACTATGTATAGTTTCTGTTATTTTCCCCATAGAGACACCATTCTAGATACAGCTGCTTCAATCAATAGTCAAGAAAAGGCCAACCAAGCTTCCCTCCTCCCATTTTCATCTCAGAAATCCACAAGTTTGGTGCTCTTACAAGGAGACAAAGGAGACAAGCCCAGACTGTGTTTCCCTAGGCTGTCTGGAAGGTTCCAGTCAGTTGGGGAACATCTGTATGATGTACATTACGTAGTTACCCCAGCCAGGCAGATTCACCCAGGGCTGGCAGGAGAAAGACTTAGGGCCAATGTAGTGGTTCCCAAAACTTGAGTCACCCAAGAGCCACCTTCATGATTTTTGCCCTATGCCAGAACAGGTACATATACTGTTATATTTTAAAATATTTTTCTTTAAATCAGACTTAAGTTGACCCTCTATTATTTTTCCCATAGCTTCTTCCTAAGCAGTGATATCTGTGAAATCTAAAAGATGAGTTATAGTTCTTCAACTACACAACTCTTAAAATAAACATATTTTCCCAAATCCTGGACACCATATAAAATTGTGGCAAGTTCATTCTCATGCCCCACTTGGAGGAAGTCTGTTGAAATACAGTCTACTGCAAAGAAATGAGAACAGTGTCTTTTTCTGAATCTTTCCATTGAGAACAAAATTAAAAAGTGGGCAGGGGCTGGGGTATTTCCATGCTTCAAGAGGGATATAAAAGGTTGAGAGACACTTTGCTGACACATTTTGAGCCCCGGGACACCTGTGTAAGGCTGATCTTTCTGTGCGTGCAATGAGAGATGGAGAGAGAGAGAGAGAGAGCTGTCACCATGAGATTTTTCTCTCTGTTCCTCTAATGCCTCCTCCTTCTGGCTTGGCAGATCTTCCCTGGGGCTGAGGGATGGCCACTGCCCAAGTACTTGGGCTCCTGTGGCAGATTCCTCGTCAGCACCAGCACCAGACCGCTGCAGGAATTCTACAGCGCACCCCCAGACCAGGCAGCCGACCTCGCCTACCAGCTCCTTGGTGTCCTGGAGTCTCTGAGGAGCAACGATTTGAACTATTTCTTCTATTTCACCCATATTGAGGCAGACATGTTTGGCATCTTTAACAACGGGCATCTGTTCATCCGGGATGCCAGCACACTGGGTGTCATCGACAAGCAGGAAGGTACTCAGCGTGGGCTTGGCTGAGCAGCTGTCAGAGGGGAAGTCAGGGTGACAGGAGCTAGGGAGGGGTGGCTGGGGGTCACACTACTGAGCCTTTCTCATCTCCACATGTCACAGTGAGAGCAACCCAAGTTCAGGGAATGTTAAATGTCATGTAAAATGTCCCTCACCCTCATTTGAGTTTCTGCTCCATCTCCCAAGCAAAGTGGACTTGGCCTTGTCCACGAGGGGCATTGCACATAGTGGCACGGCCCGGGCTGCACTCCCACAGGGCAGTGCTAGTGTCCTCTCGGGTCTGTGTGGCTCGGGGACCCATGCTGCTTCTCCTAACACACACACAAAACTCCTGAGTCCATCCTCGCCTCAGAGCTTTTCTCATCAGATGCTTTTAGCCTTTATCGAAAGCCTACATTGGTACCTTTTGCAATCCATTTTGGCACATTTAATTTTTATAAAGTTTTCAAATTCTAAAGCATGGAACCGAATGAAGTGGATGAGTGACTCATGTTTCTCACTATGTGCAAAGGCTCATCCAGAGTTCTAGAACCCTTTGAACACTCCAATCTCTAACAGTGACCAAATTTTCTTAGCCCGAGGAGGGGACAAAGGATTTTCTTTTCCAATTTCTGAGTTTGTTTATATGAGAGGGCCTACAAAGATAGACAAATTAAACCACACTTACTCATTTCCTCATTTGTCCTTATTAAGTAGACTCAAATTAGAAGAAATGAGGCTAATTCCAGAATATTCAGGATATGTATTATAAATCACTAAAGGTCAGTCCCAATACAACCCTTTGAATGAATATTCAGAATTACCTGTTTTTTCTCCTGCCTTTGTATTTTAAAAGAGCAAATGAAACCAGTCTTAATAGTTTCCTGAGTTCCTTAATTCAATAATAATGAGAGACTTACAATTATAAGCCCAACTTCTCATAGGGATAAGTGGGTTTTCCATGCCTAGGCCTCAACCTATTATGGCAGAGAGAGTTCCACCCATGTGGTTCTCAGAAGGAGCCATTGTGTCCCTGAGCTCTAAATCTCCTGGTGACAAGGAAATGCTAAGAGACTAAACCAGTTTGCCCAGCAATTCTAATTAGTGGCGCCCTCCTCCAAGGAGCACAGGTTGCACGATATGTAATATTCCCCGTTTCTCTTCTAGGCAGCCAAGCAGCCACCAGGGCAGGAGAGAATAAAGACATTTTTAGCTGCCTGGTTTCTGGCTGCCAGGCCCAGCTACCCTCCTGTGACACCATCCCTGAGAAGCAGAGCCTGGTACTGGTGTGTCAGCAGTTGCTGCCTCGACTTCTCCAGAAGAGGTTCCCCTCCCCGGTGCAAGAGGAGATAGACAACGCTCTCGATGAGTGTGGGGACAGTGCCCACCCAGACTCAGAAGTCCTCGGGGCCGCCAGCCGGCTCAAGGACATCCTGAGACCCCTGAGGACCTGTGACCCCAGATTTGCCTACCGCTACCCAGACTGCAAGTATAATGATAAGTTCTGAGGGGCCAGAGCCTAGCTGGCCTCAGGGGACAACACGCTTGGCCCTCCATTCCCCTGGTTGGGTTGCTGCAAGGTTGAAAGCAGCAGCTTTAAACATTAGGAGAAATGCACATTCATTTCCCAGGACTAAGGAACACTCATGCTACCAGAGGGGGGTCGTGTGATACAGTGTGATTGCTGCCCCCCATCCCCTGCTGGCTGGGATGTCCTGGCAGAGTCCAGGGGTGGGCATCAAAAGACCAGAGTGTGGATACTCACTTGATGTCTTTGAGCCTCAGTTTACTCTATTCTGCACCAGATCTTTCGAGTGTGAAAGAAGACAGAGCTGTGAGGGCCCTGGGACACATGCTCAGCACCTCTAGCCCAGGTGGTTACAAAGTGTGCTGTTCTAGAAGCTCACACAAACAGGGCAAATGAGAAAGCCACGCAGGTCAGGATGCTGATGAGGAGGGGGCGCTCCCAGCCACTAGCACTTCAGACTCAGGCAAGAGGCCTCCTTCCTGCTTCCTGTGTGCCAGGGGGTGAGGAGACACATGCCCACCAGGGACATGCCTGCCACAGCCCGCTTCTGGGCCATGCACTGGGTGCCTGGGGCTCCTCCACACACAGTGTGCGTGGGGCACCTGGTGGCGTGGGAAGGAGCCCGGGTGAGAAGAGCAGGAGCTGGGAGGACCATCATGTCAGGCTACAAGGCTGAGCCCCAGTGAAGGAGAGAAGGCCAGGTGGAAGCTCGCTAGGCAGCTGTCCTCGAAATTGAAGAAAGGTTCAACAAGGCTGTCAGGGTGTCCTTGAGGCAAAAGCAGCCATCAGAGGAGCCCTGTGCCTCCCACAAATGGACCCCCTTAGCATCCCCACTGCACTTAGTCATTGGCAGGCATGGCCTGTGGAAAGCGTGACTTTGGCCCCACCGCAAAGATGGGTTTCAGAGCACAGCAGCTGGGGCCCTAGTCAGCCCCTCTCCCTAGAGCAGGAGGTCAGTGCCGGGAGAACATTCTTGTTGTAGCCACAGCTGGGCACCAGGGCCAGCTCTCTCCACACTTGAGACTCTAAGGAGTCCAAGAATTTTCATTCACACTGGGCCTTACAAGTCATTACATAAATATTTTTTTTAAGGTCAGCCAATAGAACATACCTTGCTCAATATTTTTTTAGTTTGTTTTATACTTTTTAAATATTTAGCCACACAGTACGTGGGCTTCCATGTTCACTCTTGCCCTGGCCCCTGAAACATTAGTGGAGCCTCTTCTGGGCCTATGCCCAGCCTCTTTGCCAGTCCTCTACCCCCAGAGACCTTTCAGTCTACCTCCTCTTTTCTACCTCTGAGTCAGAACACTTGGCTGAATAGGCCTTGCTATGCAGATAGGGAAACTGAGGCCCAGGGAGGAGGAGTTATTTCCTGGGATAGTTCCAGAACTCCCATTACCAGTCCATGCTCCTCTTGCCTTCCCCTTCAGTCTCTGCCTCTCACCCTATACTACCCAATTGTGGTCTCTTCACTCACAATTAAAAATGGACCCCTAAAAGCCTTATTTTGTGGTGTACCAGGTTGCCTTTTGGGTTTGCCTTTTGACTGCTGCAGGTACTACCCCGGGGCAAACGTGACAGTGAGGATGATGACAGGCCAACCTTGTGGAAGAGCAGCCTTGGGCTGCCTGAGAATTTTTGAAATGACTGCCTTGTAGCTTGGTGTGCAGGGTAAAGACTGACCACCCTTCCTACCTACACAGTCATGGTCCCTCCCTTGCTGGCCTGACCACAGTGTGGCCTTCTGACAAGAACCCAGGAAAGAGGCTGCAGCCACCAGATCCTCCAGAGTTTCACAGATGAGGAAGAATTTCCGCAGAGATCCTCTGAAGCGTGAGCCCGGCCCCAGTGTTTTCCCACTGCGAAATGCTTCCACATGATGAGCGGCTTCCAGTGAGGGCCCCAGGGTGTCCAGAGTGGGCCATTTCGTGGCCTGAGGTAACCCCCAAACCCCTCCACCACATGTCTGCTCACATGCACAGGTGTGGGGCAAGCACTTACCCCTTATCTCCTACAGACCAATCGCCTGAGACTCTAAGGAATTTTCCTTCAAAACCATTATGTAACTCCTGGAGTTGCTGAAACCAGGCAGGAAATGCAACCGCGGTCCCCTCCTAAATCAGCAGAAAGAGATCTTGTGCCCTAAGTCACTTGAGTGCCCCCTGAAGGGGGCTGTTGGGAGATTTGTTTTTAGTACAAATTATAAGAAGACTATGTGTATGTGCAGCTGTGTTCACATCTGCATTGTAGGCCTAGAGCTAAAGAAGGCAGGGTGGATGTTAGCAGGGCCTACATATGCTTAGGAATGAACTAGAAATAGTTCCCCAGCTAGTGGCTTTTCCAGGTTTAGGAGGTCACAAAGACTTTTTTCTCATACACTTTCATGACAGAGCAGATGTGTTGTTCTTATCAATGTGCCTGAAGACCATGGGCCCCATTCAGGTTCTGCCTTCAGGAAACATCTGCTCCCTCCCCCCAGCCATTTGCTGATGCTCTGTCCCCCTCCATCCCTATGGTGGGCACAGAGCCGAGTTGCCCAAATCTCCCTTCAAAGAACAACTCTCCCCATCGCAGGAGTGTAGTTGGCAGGCAGCCTCAACTGTCAGCCCCTTCAGGCTCTGACTCAGTCACACAGAGTGGCTTTACTTGAGGTCACACCTTTCCTAGAGTATATCTATATCCAGTGACTAGGCATGGGAGGTGTGAAGGCCCAGCCATTTTGGCCTACTGAGCGACAACTCTGACAGGCAATTCTCCTTCCAGAATTCTCCACCAAGCTGGTCAAGATCTGGTTGGGCCTGCATCACAGTCTAACTTCCCTCTGCCTATCCTGCTTCCTCTGCATTCTTTCTACAGAAGTTGATCTCTATTAAACATTTTGCACCCTGTAGTGGGCTGAATGGTGGGCCCCAGAAAGATATGTCCATGTCCCAATCCCCAGAACTATTTCCTTAAATATGATTATTTCCTTAAATGGAAAAAGATGTTATTAGGGATATTGAGAGGAGGGGATCATCCTGGATTATCCAGGTGGGCCCTAAATGCCATTACATGTATCCTTATAAGAGAGAGGCAGAGGGAGTTTTAAGATAGAAGAAGAGCAGATGATGTGAAGACAGAAGAAGAGATTTAGGTGATGTGGCCACAAGCCAAGGAACTCCAGCAGCCATGAGAAGCTGTAAAAGGCAAGAAATGGATTCTCCTGCAGAACCTCCAAAGGGAGTGAGGCCCTGCCCAAACCTTGACTTCAGCCCAGTGAAACGGACTTCAGATTTCTGGCCTCCAGAACTGTGAGAGAATAAATGTCTTTTTTTTTTGAGCCACCCATTTTGTAGTAACTTGTTATAGCACCTATAGGAAACTAATACACTCCCCAAAGTCCACCATAGTATCTGCTTCCAGAGAACTCCACTTGCAACACTCTCCAACTCCCATCTATTGTGATCAATTCAAAAGCATGACCCAACATGAGGGTGTGTGTGATGTGTCCATATCTAGGGCTGAGGGTTTCATTTCTCCACTTAGAAAGTTCCATGCCTGGCTGGGCATGGTGGCTCACGCCTGTAATCCTAGCACTCTGGGGAGGCTGAGGTGGGAGGATCGCTCAAGGTCAGGAGTTCAAGACCAGCCTGAGCAACAGCAATATCCCATCTCTACTGAAAATAGAAAGAAATTAATTGACCAACTAAAAATACATAGAAAAAATAGCTAGGCATGGTGGCACATGCCTGTAGTCTAAGCTACTTGGGAGGCTGAGGCAGGAGGATCGCTTGAGCCCAGGAGTTTGAGGTTGCTGTGAGCTAGGCTGATGCCATGGCACTCCAGCTCGGACAACAGAGTCAGACTCTGTCTCAAAAAAAAAGAAAAGAAAAGATGATTCCATGCTTCATTTAAGCCTGTCTGAGTCCTACCTTGACCCAAAGCTTTTCCTGACAGCCCAGCTCCCAGGGATCCCTTTCTGAATCTTGTCTCTGAACTCTTAGACCATGGGTCTGTGCCACATTTGAGACTAATCCTCAGGGTATGCCAGAGAGATGTGTCCCACCCTCCCATCTAGCTAGGAGCTCCCTGAGTATGGCAATGATATGGGGTGCTTTGCGTCCCCCATAGCAACTGGCACAGAGCTGGGCACAGAGCAGACGCCAGGAAAATGTTCTTGCTTAGGATAATGACCATGTTCTCCAGCCCTCTTTGCTTGCTTGTTGTTCATGCACCGTATTGGTCACACATGAGACAGAGCCACTGCCTCAAGAACAGTGCCTTCCCCTCGATAGCCAGGAGACAGGTGAGTCAACATACAAGTGATTCCAGCCAGAATAAAATCACTGTTGTGACGGTGATATAGCACATCTTATATTTTCCTGGTTAGAGCTGGAACCCATACTACTAAGTGAAGTATCCCAAGAATGGAAAAACAAGCACCAGATATATTTTCCAGCAAACTGGTATTAACTGAGTAGCACCTAAGTGGACACATAGGTACTACAGTAATAGGGTATTGGGCATGTGGGAGGGGGGGAGGGGGGCGGGTATATACATACATAATGAGTGAGATGTGCACCATCTGGGGGATGGTCATGCTGGAGACTCAGACTTGTGGGGGGAGGGGGGGGAAATGGGCATTTATTGAAACCTTAAAATCTGTACCCCCATAATATGACGAAATAAAAAAAAAATCACTGTTGTGTATTCTCAGTCCCCTAGATTTTTGGAGGCGTTATAGTATTTTCCCGAGTTGTATCAGCCACTGCTTTTTAGCCTACACGACGAGTATGTGATTAATGGGGCCCAGGGAAAAATGAAAACATGAGATCCCCTGTTCAAAGATTATTAAGAATTGCAAGATGAGATAGCAAAGCATTAACTAAGCTCAGACCCTCTGCCACTGTGTAGGTTGCAGGCCTGTGAAGCCAGCCCTGGGTGCCTATAAATACTAATGCTCCTTACTCTTAGCATAGAGTATTCTCGGCAATTGCCGGGGTCTCATTTGACCACCACACCCCAGGAGAGTATGTGTGGGACTACCTGGGACAGTATATAAAACATTTAACAATTGCCATGTCAAAAAAAAAACCAAAAACTGATTTATGAGAACAGACTCCACCAGCTACAGCTATCAAGAGGACCAAACCACAGCCCTGCAGGCAAGTTCTTCTTTTCAAATGAGGAAACTGGCTTAAGTGACTTGCCCAAAGTGACAATTTTTAGGTCTTCTGCTTTCCCAGTCCTCCCCTATAGCATCTGACTTCTGCCTATAAGCGATTCCATGAGCCTGAATATTTCTTCTACAGTTAAAATTAATACTTTGTTGAATTTGTGTTCTTTTTTGGAAAGATCTAGAGCTCTGGAATCAGACAGACCTGGTATCACATCATGACTCTGCTGGTTTCTGTGTAACCTTGGGCAGGTTACTTAACCTTTCCTTATCCATAAAAGGGGGAGAAAAATGACCCTTGTGCGGTCATGGTCCTATGTAAATAACACTATGTCCCTCAAGATCCCAGCACACATGGGCATTCTATATTTGAAGGCAAATGTAGAGAGAGAGCAGAGGGTCTCTCAGCAGAAAGGGTTCCTTGCACCGCCAAGGTGAGCACAGTAGCCTCTTGGGAGGGACCCTGATCCTGCCTCAAGTCTCCACTCCAGCCCAGAGGAGCCACGAGGGTGGTTCAAGCTGTAAGACAGTCTGACTGGAGCCATTTTTCTTCCCTCCCCCACCCAGACCCTAGGTGCCTTTCAAGGCAGCGCAGCCTCCACCAGGCTCAGAAGGGAATCCTCAAGTGGGTAATGCTGGGAGGCCTGAAGAAGTCTCTCCACACTCAGTATCTGAAGAGATATGAGGACTGCATCTTGGCCCACTGACAGCTGCATCCTCACTGCCGGTTCACGGTGACGTGGCTTTTCTGCCCATTTCGGGCCTCTCACATATGTTGACACGGCTGAGCTCACATGCACACAAGGATACTCTCTGGTCTATCTTCCACTCTTTATGGTATTGTTGAAAGACAGTGGACAGCTGTGTGTGAGGGTCAAAACACAGGCGGGGGGCCCTTCATTTGTAGATATGATGACCCTGCACAAGGCAACTTAGTGGAATCCACCTGCAAAGGTGGGCGAGGCAACCTGTGCCCACCCATGAGAGCTCTTTGTGGAAGAAGATAAGGAAAGAGGAGAACTCCTGTCCCATTTAGGTGACCAGGACTCAGTCCTGGACTGTGACTCTAGAGGCAGCATGGCCTGGCAGAGGGAGCACCAGTTCTGGAAGCAGACAAGTCTGCCTTCAGAGCCTGCACCAGCCCCTCTGGCAAAAGTCAGTGCATCAAAGTTATGCATCGGAGCAATGATATTCATTGCAATTGAGTAATGAATAAGCAAAGCCATTCATTGTAACTGCAAAATATTGGAAACAACCTAAATGCCCATCCACAGGAGAGTGATCAAATAAAGTACAGTCCATCCACACAATGGGGTATCATGCAGCTGTACAAATGAATGAGGAAGAGCTCTATGAACTGATATGGAATAATTTGTAGGAATACAGTGCTAAGTGAGGGGAGAAAAGCAAAGAGCAAGAGTGTATTTATAGGATGTTACCTTTCACATAAGAAAGAAGATACAAGAAAACATTTCTATAATCTGCTCATTTGGAATGCTCTGGTTGGAAGATGGGGGTAATTCTATGATTGCATATCTCAATAAATCCTATCTGTAGCACAGGAAGAATGAAGCATGGCTAAAGCTCTAATTAGTGGAGCAGCAGCAATCACTCACATTCTCTTAGTAACCAGGATTGGGGATGTTTGGTCGTTTTTGTTTGAACAATGTTCATGTTGTTGTTTGTGCTCAGACGTAAGTACAGCATGGCCTTGTTTTGTCCTGATCCATCTTGGTCACAGAGTGGCCTTGTTTGACGTTGGTGTTTTGAGAAATTATTTATGTTCAAAGAGAACATGAAGGCCAAGCTATGAGGCCCACGCCAGCTGTTGTGGACTGCTTTTGTCCTTCTGAGTGAGACAACCGGTGAAATTCAAATAAGGCCAATTTCAAATAAAGCTAATCCAGTAAATAGCATTTTATCAGTGTTAATTTCTTAGTTTTGATAATGTACTATGGTTATGTAAGACATCAACATGAGGGGAAGTTGGGTGAAGGGTATAGAGGAACTCTGCATACTATTTTGGAACTTTTCTGTAAGTCTAAAATTATTCCAAAATAAAAAGTTAAAAAACAAAAACAAAACCAACTCAGTGCATGAAGTAGGAATTAGTTTGGCACTAGGTGAAGAGGTTTGCTTACATACTGGGGATGTGCTATATAAAACAAAATACATATCTCAAAACACTAAAGCATTACCTGTGTAACACTATGGTCCCAACTACTAGAAACACAAGGAAACCAAGTTGGATTAAAAGGAAGATTCAAGTCTCCCATTTGAGGTTTACTCTAGGGTGATGTTCATTGAGAAGACCCTCCATGGTTTTCATTTCTCTCCCTTTCATTTAATTTGCCCAAGTGAATGTGTCCATACTAGAACCAGGGCTGCCCCTGCCACACTGGAAGGCAGCAGAAAGCTGGGCCTTTCACATGTTCACTTCCGATCCCTTCCCTTCTACACACAGACCACAGGCCATTTAGCTGAATCCATGTTTCTCTCTCCTGCCCATATTGGGAGCTTCTCTCTGAAAAAATCATTCTTTAAGGGGAATTGTGCCAAAAGCAAGTTAGTATTCTCCTTGTCAAAATGACAAATATTTTAATATTTCTTTTCTTTAAATGATCCTACCCAAGGCCAGCAAACATTCAGGAAAAGAGGCAAGTCATGGAAACTTGGTGAGAACATAATCCTATTGAAAAGTAATTTGGCAAAGTTCATCAAGAGCCTCAAAAAGGATGGCACACTCTACCCAGTAATTCCACTTCTGGGATGCTGTCCAAAGGAAGTAATCAAGAATGCAGACAGAGATTTATGCACAGACTGACTGTTAAAAATCATGGATTGAACACTTGTAACCCCTACTAAAATGAAGGAAAGTGGTGGAATTTTTAATAGGCATAAACTAAGACAGAGGAAAATGAAAGAGGAGAAAAAATAGAAGCACAATTTTGAAAGCTGGAAAGCAAATAACTTAGCAGGACCAAAAAAAAAAAAAACACCTCTGAATCCTAAATCGACAGCAAAGAATGCTGAAAACCAACCCAATTTACACCACAAAATCCCTCAAAAGGTTGAGGAATTGGTGGCACTAGATCTCTCAGGAAGTGAGGGAAAGGAGTGGCTGAAATATGATTGAGGCTCACAATGCTGTTTTAAGAATCAACTGGATCCACGTGGATCTCCCTGCTCTTCACAGCCAGGGAATCGTCCCCTAAGACCAACAGAAGATTGGAGGCTCCTTCCCTGGAGAGAGTCAATCAAAGGGTTTTCAGGGACAGCACACAGAGATCAGGGTGGCAGGGCACACTGAAAACCAGGGGATCAAGGGCTCATGTGCACAGTAGCTGTGCGGTCCTTTCCCTTACCTGCACCGGTAGCTTGGCCTTCACCTCCAGGCAAGAGAATGGCCCCAAAGACCCGACATCAGAAGTCCCTCAGCCAC